ATCCCTGCTGATTTTAAGAAGCCAATACACATGAAAGCCGAGAGACCAAAATAAATAACGGAAGCTTTTTGCATATGTTTTTCAACGGCTATGCTGCGCCTTATGCAATAGTAGAGGACCCCGGCTTTTAGTGATTGTGATTGAAAGTCATTGAAAGTATTTGAAACACTATCTTATTATTTATTTTGTAATATTATCAAGACATTCCTGTCTTAGCTACTCTACACTGGCTTCCTGTAACTTCTAGAATTCATTTGTAGCTGTTTCTCCTCACAAACAAAGCTCTAAACGGACACGGACCCAGCCACATTGCTGACTCTCTAACAAACGACACACCCGCCAGAACACTGCGACCATCAGATGCAGGTCTATTAGAGGTCACCAGAAAGAGTCATAAGAAGATCTGTGAAGCAGCCTTTGTAAACTACGCCCCAAAACTGTGGAACACGTAACCCAACAATATACGGGAAGCCAATACGTTGCCAATGCCCATCTCTTTACCAAAGCATTTTACTGATTTTTCACTATTATACTGCACTATTCTCTGTGATTGACAGTTCTCTATTTCTCTGTTTTATTCTCCATGTTTTTATTTGTATTTATTTGATCCCACTTCATGCTTTGCTCTTGCTGCTTGTTTTACACTGATTTTATGTCTCATTTCTTACTGATGTGAAGCACTTTGAACTGCAATCCCCTGTATGAAAGGTGCTATACAAATAAAGTTATTATTATTATTAACACAACTAAAGATGAACAAAGCGGCACGTTCAAAGAAGAGTTCCTCGTGGAACTACTTCGAATTGTACGGCCTATTGTTCTAAAGTGCCGGTGGGGGGTCGGCGAATAATCGATTTATATTCGCCAGGCTTGTCCGATTTTCGAATTTGATCATGGTCAGTTTCTGGCACCTCTATCAGAGACAGGCTCTGTATTTCTCTGAGACCTGTGATATATTCATGAGAAGGACCTTTTAAATTCTCTGACCTTTCCCTGGGTAGTCGGTACAGACAGGTATGCTTACAAATCTGAAACAGGTGCTAGTTAAAAATGTAATATAATAGAAAATAATACCCAACCTAAAATAATATGTAAATATAAGAAAAAAATATATATAAACATAAAATAAGGAGGTGTTTAGAGCTCAGTGTTGTTGGTTTCCATCTTCTCTCAAATGTTTCTAGTTGTAGTGTTGCTGTAGTGTTTTCCATAATAAAGACCTTCGTCACTGTGTCTGTTGCATTATGTTGTGGTTTCATGTGTTGTTGTTTTACGCTCTGCGTTCCTTCCCTCTTCCAGATGGAGTCTCCGGTCTCCACGCCAGCTCCTCCTCCGCTCCACCCCCTCGTCTCGGGGTCTGGCAGCGACATCTCGTCCCCCTGCGAGCAGCTGATGGTCCGGACGCGCTCGGTGGCCGTGAACACAGCCGACGCCGCGCTCGCCACGGAGCCAGAGTGCCTGGGACCCTGTGAGCCAGGCACCAGCGTCAACCTGGAGGGCATCGTGTGGCAGGAGACGGAGGACGGTGAGAGCTTTATTCATCAAATCAAAGTTTATTTATACAGCTCAATATCACAAACAACAGGAGATGGAGGACGGTGGGAGGAGACAACCTTTCTTTACATTATATTCATCAATCAAAGTTTATTTATACATATATATATACAGTATATATATCACAAAACAACAGTTGTCAACATCTTGTGTCAGGAGACGGAGGACGGTGAGAGATACCAAATTTCGTGAAATTCCGACTATATTGGAGTAGTTTCAAGTAGCTTGTCACATATTAATCGTCAAAAGTGGTTCGTTCTCCGTTAGTCTACAACTTCCCCGTTTGAGCTATCCACTATTTCTTTGCAAAATAACATCACATTTGATATGTGGTTAGTCTGTTAAGAATTTAAATGTATCCGATCTATCCTCCTGGAGGAGTTTGTAAAAGTTTGCAAAAATAACAGGAAAATTGCACCTTTTCCAAAATGGCCGACCTCTGGGTGGGCGGGGCTAATGAAGGCCGATTGGAAATGTCTTCACAATCTTAAGAACAATGGGTTTACCAAATTTAGTGATATTCTATTCGAGTAGTTTGTCACATATTAATTAAAAAGTGGTTTGTTCTCCGTTAGCCTACGACTTCCCCGTTTGAGCTATCGACTATTCCTTGGAAATGTAGCATCACATTTGATGTAGCACAATGTACCAGGTGTTGCTCATACCTCAGCCCTGAAACAGAAACAAGTTTTTGAAGCCAAAAGGTATAAAATCATATAATCATAAACGCATGACGATGTGTCGACTCATCGCCCGAATAGACGAGCACTGCTCTACAAAAAAAATCGTTAATTTTTCGAAATTCTCGAGGTCAGCCCTAATTCTAACTGGTTGTATGTTTTCTAGGCATGCTGGTGGTGAACGTCACCTGGAGGAACAAGACGTACGTCGGGACCCTGCTGGACTGCACCAGACATGACTGGGCCCCCCCGAGGTGCACATTCAATTACATCTCAGATAGAAACAGCAGAACGCTGAATGCAGATCAGAAGCACGCTGAAGGCTCTTTGAGCAGGTTGTCTCTCACTGATCGTGCCGTTATGTTAAATGTTTGTTTGTTTTTCATGTATTGTTTCTTGATATCTATATATTTGTAAGTCTCTTCTCGCTCACTTCCAGGTTCTGCGAGTCTCCCAGCAGTGACGTGGAGATGCGCGGCGGTCGAGGTCGTGGGAAGCGGATTCGACCCGGCAGCAACACGCCGCTCAACGACAACAGCAACTCCTCCGACAACAAAGGGAGCGGCAGCAGTAAGACGCGCGGTGGCGGCAGCGCGGCGGCGGCTAACAGCAAAGGGCGGCGAGGCAGCCAGACGGCCATGTTGGGAGGAACTGAAGCTAGTCCATCTTCCAACAAGAGGAAAAACAAACCCGCGTCCGACATGGAACCAACTTCCAGCTCCGAGGACACAAAGGCCTCTAAACGAATGAGGACAGACTCCACCGGTAACGCTCTCCCACTTCCTGGAGGGAAACCGGATTCCCTTCCTCCTCCAATGTTGGATTGCCCCTCCCCCGTCCTCATCGACTGCCCTCACCCCAACTGCAACAAGAAGTACAAGCACATGAACGGGCTGAAGTACCACCAGGCGCGGGCGCACAACGACCACGAGGTTCAGGACGTGGACAGCGAGTACGGGGACGATGTTTTAACCCACTCTGACGCTCCGGGTTCTTGTAACGGAGCCGCCGCCATTTCTCCCGCTCGCTCAACGACTCCTAAAGGACGGGGGTTCGACGCGCCTTCGCCCTCGCCGGGAAGGATGAAGGTGAGGAAGAAGGAGGCGGAGATGGAGGCGGAGTTGGAGGAGGAAGGGGCGTGTCTTACGGACGAGGCAAGCAACGACGGGTTGGACGACAGGAAGTCCAGGAAGACGACGGGGGGCGGGAAACCTGATAAAGTGACTCAGAAAGGCGTAAAACCCGGACGTCCTTCCGCCGCCTCCCCTTCCCCTTCTTACGCCTTACAGAACACTTCCCCCGCCTCCTCCGTGGTGCAGCAGCCAATCCCCAAGAGCTCCGCCTCCAGCCCCGGCCCCACCCCCACCAAGGACAAGAAGAAGAAGAAGAAGAGGGAGGGAGGCAGGGAGGGAGGCAGGGAAGGAGACAGTCCTAAAGGGAAGGGAGGAGGGAATAGAGAGGAGGACTCTCCGGACTTCCTTCTGAACGGATCGGAGCATCAGAATCGTTTGGCGAGCATCAAAGCGGAGGCGGATAAGGTTTACAGTTTCTCCGACACGGCGCCCAGCCCCTCGCTCGGCCGGGGGGAGGGGGGGAACCTGAACGGGGCCGAAACAGGAAGCCCCGCCTACTCGGACATCTCCGACGCCGGGGAGGACGGGGAGGCGAGGACGGGGGAGGTGAAGGTGGGTCTACCTTTTAGAAAAACACTTTATTTATTGACTTGATTTATTTAGAACGTGTAAAACAATAATACAAACAATAATAATGAAATGAAACAAGAGAATTATGATACTGTACAAACTGAAGCAGTATCACATTGAGGCGGGGGAGGTGAAGGTCTTCCTAAAAAAACTTTATTTATTGAGATTTTTCAAACATGATGGTCTTTCTGCAGCTCATAGCGTTTCACATTCATTTGTGTTTCACAGCTGTAGTCGTCTGCCTGTATTGTTTGGTGTTCATCTGTTGTAACTCTGTTCTGCCCTCTTGGACAGGTCACTCTGGAAAAATAGGTTTTAATCTCAATAGCTGCGTTCACACCAAGTACTTTGCCGTACTTAGTGCCGGCACTTATTACCCCAGGGCATTAAGTACAGATCGCGTTCACACCGGAATAAGTTCCCTGAGGGAAAATTACGCAAATGAGCCACTGACGTCACTTCTTCTTCTTCTGCTTTGGGTTTACTGGCAGGCCGCAAACAACTTCACGGCGTATACTGCCACCCGGAGTCCTCGGCCGGAAGTCCCCGGAGTTGGGGAAGGCTTCAGTAGAAGCTGCTGGGACTCCCAGCAGCTTCTACTGAAGCCTTCAGAGTAAATCGCCAGAACGCCGACACCTCCTCATCTCCACCGCTCCCATGTTTTCTTTTGTGTTGCCATAAGTTAGCCTCTCTGCGTTTCTGCGCTGGGCTAATGCTAATAAAATGGTGGCTTCACAACACTTTTTTTGAGTTTTACGGGGCGTGGTTTGCAATTCGCCCAGCCAATCAGAACTGAGGCACTTTTTCCCCCCAGGAGAGTCCCACCTCTCAGCAGGCACTGAACATGGGGGTAAAAGTTCCCGGCACTAAGTTCTCTTTTTGGTGTGAACGCAACATCAGGGGTACTAACGGAACTAAACGGGAAAAGTACTATTGAGACTTTTACCTGGTTAAATAAAGGATATAGAGAGAGTCCTGCAGGTTAGCATCCAGCAGTTTCTATATGCTAGGGACCCTACAAACAAACACTTTATTTACTGGCTTTTTTAATTATTTGATTTTATCTTTATTTATTTAGAACGTGTAAAACAATAATACAAAAAATAATAATGAAATGAAACAAGATAATGATGATACCGTACAAACTGAAGCAGTATCACATTGAGGCGGGGGAGGTGAAGGTGGGTGTCCATAAAAAAAAAAACAATATATTTATTGAGCCTTTTCCACACATTATAGTCCTTCATAAAACGTTGGGGTCCTCAGCATGTCGGGGTCACCATCAGACCCTATGAGCTGCAAACAGACCATTACCTTTTTAGTTTGGGGTCACTGTTCGTGTTTTAATGTTTTATGATTCTTAATCTTTGTTTCTAATGATGTTCTCTACTCTTCATTTCCCCTCATTGTTATTGTTTGTATGTGCCTGGTGTCGCTCTGTGAAGCTCTGCGTGTTCCACGAAAGCTTCTGTATGAATAACGTTGTTTATCATCATTATTATTAAAAGGTGAAGACGGAGCCCGACCAGGCGCCTCGAGAAGGTGCTAAGAAGACCCTGTTCCCCCCCCAGCCGCCCGGGAAGGAATACTACCCAAACTACGACTCGTATTACTCCCCCACGTACCCCAACGCCAGCCCCGCCGCACCCCCCCTCATGGAGGGCGTCCAGGTGAAGAAGGAGGAGGAGTCGGAGGTGAGGGAGGAGCTGGTTCTTAATAATAAGGAACTGTACAGCGTTTGATCTGAAATGTGTTTGTGTGTAAAGGGTCTCCATGTCTGTCTGTGCCACTGACGCCTCTGAGCGCTTCTTTTGAAGGTGGAGCCTCTGGAGGACAGGAAGCTGGACCCTCAGCAGCCGTCTGTGATCCAGCCGCGCTCCAACATGTACGCACAGCAGCTTTACTACAACCAGTACTACGTGCCCCCCTACTCCTACCCCCCCGACCAGAACTACCACGCCCACCTGCTGGCCTCCAACCCCGCGTACCGACAGCAGCACGACAACAAGAAGGCCTCGCTGCCCCCCCCCACGCTCTCCAGAGCCCCCAGCCTCTCCGACCTGGGGGGCAGCAAGGGGGGCCCCAAGCCAAAAGAGCCAAGAGAGCCAAGAGAGCCAAGAGAGCTGAAGGAGCCTAAAGAAGCCCCCCAGGCCACTGCAGAGGGCAAATCTGTGATCATGTCGAAAGGCGAGGAGCAGAAGGTCCCGCCTCCTCCAGCCGCTGCCGTCCAACCAGAAGGCCTGAAGATGAAGCTGAGTGAAGCAGGGCATCATGGGAAAGAAGAGGGGGGGAAACAGGGAGGAGTGGAGCCCGCCATGTGGTACAGACAGGTAACTACAGCTGGGGTTAACACTGGGCGGGGCAGGAGTTGGATGAATGTAAAAAAAATGCCATAAAAAAGCGACATATTTGAAGAAAAAGTCTCAATATTTAGGAACTGATGCAGTTTCACAACGTAAACAGTCTGTTGTCTTGACTAACTTCTCTCTCCTCCTCCTCCTCCTCCTCCTCCTCCTCCTCCTCCTCAGGAGCCGGACTCTCGCCTCTGGCCCTATGTTTATCCCAACAAATACCCAGAAGCCCCGAAGCCTCAGGAGGAGGAAAGAGAACGAGAGAGAGAAAGAGAGAGGGAAAGGAAAGGAAAGGAGGAGCGATCGAGACCTAAAGAGCACCAGAAGGAGAAGGAGGAGGTGAAGGAGGAGGTGAAGGAGGGTGATCACCGAGGGGGGGGTAAGGAGGCGCGCCCCCCGCCCCCTCCCCAGATGCAGTTCTCCTCCCCTATGCCCCAGCATCACCAGGGTTACCTGCCCTACATGCCGGGGCCGTACGCCTACAGCCACGGGTACGAGGGAGCGGGGCACCCGGGGTTCAGAGGCCTGCCCTCCGTCATGATGCAGAACTACCCCGGTGAGTGGGACTCGAAGGGTTAATGCAACGTGTTTTAGGGGAAATTGGTGTAAATTGTATTTGCAGGAAATTTGAGAAAAAAATTCCAAATATTTACTGAAAAACTGGTGAAAACGTATTTTTATAAAAGCCAAATATTTCCTGAAAACCTGAAAGAAATGTCATAACTTTGCAGAAACAATTCAATCAAATTCCAAATATTTGATCATTTCTTTTATAAATAAAACGGTTAAAAAGAGTGGAAAGGCCAATATTGAGTATAAACTGAGGTGATTGAGCTGCTGTCTCTCTCCTCAGGCTACCTGCCGGCCGGCTACTCGTTCCCTTCCTACGGGGGGAAGGCTGCGGGGGGGGAGGAGGGGGAGAAAGCCTCCAGGTCCAGCCCCACCGTGAAGCCCCCCCCCGCAGAGAACAAAGCTCTGGAGCTGCTGCAGCAACACGCCAGCCAGTACAAGAGCAAATCCCCCTCAGTGCAGGACAACAAGCCCCAAGAGAGGGAGAGGGAGGGACCCCGGAACTCCCCCTCCCAACGCATGCTGCCCTCCCACCATCACCTGGGGTACCCTCTGCTGGGGGGGCAGTACGACCTGTCCTACGCCTCAGGTGAGACACA